CAAATTTGCATTTAAGGTCCGAATCACGTCAAACGGATTCCGTTTCTTACCAAACTTCACAGAATTATCTTAAATCATATATAAGACCTGTATCGGGCGCCAGAACCAAAATACGGGCCCGATACCAATATGTTCTAATCAAAATTCATTTCCAAACCTTATAAACAATTTCAAAAAACAAGTTTCTTCAAAAATTCATTTCTCGAGCTAGGAACCTCGAAATTCGATTCCGGGCATATGCCCAAGTCCCATATTTTCCTACGGACCCTCCGGGACCGTCAAATGATAGGTCCGGGTCCGTTTACCCAAAACGTTGACCGAAGTCAAATTAATTCATTTTACAGTCAAAATTTATCATTTTTCACAGATTTTCACATATAGGCTTTCTGGCTACGCGCCCGGACTGCGCACGCATATCAATGTGATGCTAAAAGAGGTTTTTAAGGCCTCGAAACATAGAATTTTATTTTAAAATAAGTGATGACCTTTTGGGTCATCACATCCGAGGGCTCGGGTGAGTTTCGGATAGGTTTCGGGATGTTTTGGACTTAGAGGATTTTGCTATTTTTGCTGTTGCAGGTGCATATGTATTCTGTGCTTCGCGATCGCGAAGCCTCTCTCGCGATCACGAAGTGTAAATCAGGTTGAGGGGGAAACTCTTCTTCGCGAACGCGGAGGACCGAACGCAAACGCGAAGCACTGAGGGTGGTACCCTTCGCGAACGCGATCATCCTCCCACGAACGCGACAGTCAAGGGACCTGGGGAGGGGAGTCTCGTCCTTCTACGCGAACACGACCACTGGGTCGCGAACGCGATGGCTTGGGAGGAGTTTCCTTACGCGAACGCGTAGATGGACCCGCGAACACGAAGTCCTTAGGCCGTTGTATATCACGATCGCGACAGGCCTCTCGCGAACACGATGAAGGTTTGTCCAGCGAATTTAAAAACAGAACTAGCACGGGATTAGACCAAAATTTCATATCTCTTCCATTAAAACTCAACCTTGGGCAATTTTCGAAGGTGGGGATTCAACACTAAATCATAGGTTTGTGTTCTTAAACTCATCTCTTTCATTTTCCATCAACACCCATTAGATTTCTAGGCCTAAATCTTGTTCTTTAAGGGTAGAAATTAGGGATGTTGGGGGAAATTAGGAATTTTACAAATTTGGGAATTTAGACCTCGATTTTGGGGTCGGATTCCGAAACTAATTGCATATTTGGGATTGGGGATGAATGGGTAATCGGGTTTTGGTCCGAACTTCGAGTTTTTACCAAGCGGGCCCGAGGTCGATTTTAGACTTTTCGGGAAGAATGTTGGGATAGCTATAATTTTTTTACTAGAATTGGTTTATTTAGCGTTAATTAGTTAATTATGCATAGATTCGGACGGTTTGGGAGTGGAAATCAAAGGAAAAGCGGTAATTGAGGCTTGGTTTTTGGTCGTGGAATTGAGGTAAGTGTTTGGTCTACCCTTAGCTTGAGGGAATAGGTGTCCTTGTCTTATTTGCTGCATGTTAGTGTTGTGTACGATGTATAGGTGTGGTGACGAGTATCTATACGTTGGTGTCGAGCATGCAAGTGAGTCTTATACTGTGATTGTTGTGACTCTTATTATGTACTGTTCATGCTTAAATTGATGATTATCCATGTTGAACAAGACTTATGGCAGTTTTCTTGGTAATTGACCATTGCTGAGTATTGACTCAAGTTGGGACTTATTTTGTGAAGTTAACTGTTGAAACGAGATTGGTTATAGCTGATTCCCTTGCCAGGATATTATTGTTTCTATCGTTGATTCCCTTACCGGGATATTATTGTTTCTATTGTTGATTCCCTTGCCGGAATGTTATTGTTTATACTGTTTGGGTGAGGAAAGATTGATAAAGCACGAAGGGTGATGTCGTGCACATTCATACTTATGCATATGGTGAGGAAAGAGTGATAAAGCACGAAGGGTGATGCCGTGCATATTTACATGTTGATGCATATGGTGAGGAAGAGAGATAAAGCACGAAGGGTGATGTCGTGCACATTTCTATTATTCATATGGTGAGGAAGAGTGATAAAGCACAAAGGGTGATGCCGTGCACATTTCTATTATTGATAGCATGGTGAGGATTGAGAGTAAAAGCACGAAGGGAAATGCCGTGCATTTTCTGTTTGCTGTGTTCATTTGCTGTTATCGGTTCAAGTGTTTTAACTGTAATTCCTTTTGTTGAAACCCCCATAACATGTTGCCCCTTCCCATTCATTCTGCTTAGTTTTATTTCTTGTTACACTGTTATTATACTGATTAACTGCACAGGTTTATATGGTTGTCATGTCCTAGTCTCGTCACTATTTCGCCGAGTTTAGGCTCGACACTTACCAGTACATGGGGTTGGTTGTACTGATACTGCACTCTGCACTTTTTGTGCAGATTTTGGTGCCGGACCTTGTGAGTAGATTTGAGGTTGCTGCCTTCAGTCCAGGGAGACCAAGGTAGATCTGCTGGCGTTCGCAGGGCCTGAAGTCCCCTTTCCCCGTTTTAGTTTCTCCTGTCTCTTCTATTTCGAGAACAGTTGTACTTCTTTCAGACTTATATTTGTAGTAAATCTTAGTCGTTCGTGGACTGTGACTCCAGATCATTGGGTAGTTATGTATTAGAATTGTTGGATTGCTATATCAATTCCGCATTTCATATTTGTTTTGTTTTAGCTATTATCAGATTCTGTTCGATTAATAATAATTGTGGTAAAACTGTAACTGTCAGCTTGCCTAACTTTTACGAGTAGGCACCATCACGATTCCCAAAAGTGGGAAATTCGGGTCGTGACAAAAATTCAATTAACTTTACAATTTAGTTTGGCACACATAGATCAAATAAAATAAAAAATTGCATATTAGGAACTGCTAAGATTATACACATAAACAATTTGGTGGAGATGGGAACACGTGGGGACGTGAGGGGTACAAATTTAGGCAAGGAAGCTACTGTGAGAGAAAGGGGTGACACATATAACAACTTAAAAACATAACCTTTTTAATAGTACTATATATTAGTGGATATTCCCATAGAAAGAATATTCGCATAAAATAAGCAATGTTTGATCGGAGAGATTAGAAAAACTAATTCCCACATAAGTAGTACACTAATACAATGTTGAATTTGTAATATTAACTAACACCCATAATTGTTTATGCAAAAATCCATGTGTTATTTCAGTGAAAGGGTAAGAAATTTAATTATAGAAATCTAAAATATAAATAAATAAACGCACGAAGAAGCTTAAATATTCCGTTCATGTATCACTGTACAACATAGCCTTTTGTTGGACAGTCGTAGGCCTTCTACTTATGTTTTTTCTTTTGAGTTTTCTCTTTGATAAATGTACCTATTTAGCCCTTTTTACTTATAATACTACTAATAACTCTAGAAACTAGAAATAAACCTAAAGAATGAATTTTCATATCATCTGCTTAATCTTGGATATCTTTATGTTAAAGGTTCATGCATAAAGAGAAACTTACTCTCGCATCTATATTTTTTGCTTAATCTTGGATATCTTTATGTTAAAGGTTCATGCATAAAGAGAAACTTACTCTCGCATCTATATTTTTTTTGTATCTTTTTTATTTGGATTAGATTTGTAGTGCCAACCCAATACCTAAAATAGATTAGCTAACCCAACAATATTTTTGGGAGTTCGAAAGATATTTTACTTATATTTCTATGACAATGAAAATGAGGTGGCACAACTTTACTGCCTTAACTATACAATTGGGCCAGAGCATAACCTGGGCTAATCATAACTAATATATATGTACACACTAGTTATATCGTTTAAAATTCTTTCTGGCAGCATCACCCTCCAACCTAACAAGGGGACCTTCAGTGCAGTCTATTAGGGTATATCTAGCTTCCCCAAGCCGCCATTCTAGGAACCGAGCACGTTTCTCTAGTAGTGGCAAATCCTACAATGGGTCAATGCCCTCATAGTTTGAGAAAAATCCGTGTGTGTCTTCTAGATCATCAATCACAATTTTAGTGAAAAGATATATTAATTGATCATCAAATACGTCAAAGAATTTTATGACTCGACTTCTTGTTTATTTTAAACATTTACACACTAAATTAAAGAACTATTCTAACATTCCTATGTTACCTCTGTATTATCTTGTACTATTTTATCACATTTGAAATTAAATGTATCACAAATTTATCTATCACGGGCTGCACTCATTTTGTTATTATTATATTAGACATGATAATTCAAATTAATAATATGTTAGCATATGTATGAAACATATTATTTTGGATCTTGTTATAAAAAAATTATTTATTAGTATGAAATTTTGAGTAGTGTAACTTAAAGTTTTAGAATGTTTTTACTTTTAAAAAGTAGAAAGTCTTTCTTTTTTTTTTTCTATAAAGATTTTTTACCCTTTTTTTCTACTGAATTATTGGGCACGAGAATGTCTTAAAATTGGTCGGTGAATACAGCTTTGCACTAAACTACTATTATTACCCAAAAACTATCTTTCGATTAATTTATGGTGGAAGTTATCTTTAAGCTAAATTTCCTCACGGTATCAATTGTTTTTCCTTTTTCCTTTTCCTGTCTGTTAGTAGTTTCGAAATTGGTTTTATTTTTCCCATGTGATTAGGTTTTTCTTTAAGTTTGTTTGTTTAACAAGTTCATCTTTATCTATCCCTGTTCTCAAGAGGTTTCATTGAATAATTTAAGAATCGTTAATGGAAAGTTCACATTGTTTGAGACTTTGTTTTAATTTGGAAATAAAAGAAAATTGATAATAAAAGTTCATCAAACTCTAAAATGTCAACATTTAGGATGTATTATAAAGTTGTAACATGCTGTCTTTTTGATAGAGATAGCTTTTATATTATTTGTAGTTATCCATTTATGTAGTTATCTTGTAGAGTCCTTGTACAACTTGTACTCTCGTATTTGTATAAATACATGGTTATGTGACCTTAGCAGTCAAGCTGGCCATCATACGCTTAATCTCATCCTAGTATCAAGAGCCATAAAGATCCATATCAATGGTCTCAGAAATTTCCTCTTCCTCCACCACCCAAACAACCATGACTCAATCTTCACTTGGTCTTCCCATTCCCCCTCCAACCGTTTCTAATATCAAAGGTTTTGTCCCTGTTGAATTAACATACATCAATTATCTTACTTGGAAGAAAATTTTTCTTACTGTTCTTAAAAGTCACAATCTTCTATCCCTAGTAGATGGAACTGTATCATGCCCCTCACAAAATCATGAGGATTATAAGTTATGGATTCAGTGTGATACTATCGCAATGAGTTGGATTAATGCAACACTTTCTCCAGCAGCTCTTGACACTCTTCTTAACTATGGTTGTGAGACATTCAAAGAAGCTTGGGATACACTTGCCTCCCTCTACCTTGACCAAGTTTCCTCTTCTTCAATCCATTTGAAGTCCAAGTTCCAAACCTTCAAGAAAGGTTCTCTATCCATGGAGGATTATTTACAAAAAATTCATTCTATTGCTTGCTCTCTTCGAGCAATTGGAAAAGCCGTAACTGACGAGGACATAGTTACTCAAGCACTGCAAGGATTGCCTTCCTCTTATCGCACTTTTATTTCTGGCCTAAATGCTACTGGTACTCTTCCTTCATTCATCGCATTGTGGCCATTATTGCTCATTGAAGAAGCCCATATTAAGGCAGCCACTCCAGATGACTCAAACTCACAAACGGCTTTGACAGTATCGACTCGGGCTAAAGGTTCATATGATGCTCCCTCTCCATATCAAAGTTCATATTCTAGAGGACAAAATAATGGTCGTGGACGAGGTAGGACCAATAGAGGCTACAATTTTAGGGGTCATGGGCAAAGTAAACAGCATTCTCCTCGCTTTTTTTCTCCTCAATGGCCTGGTTTTCAATCATCCTTTCGCCATCCCTCACCTATGGCTGGGGTATTGGGACGTCCCCCCTTTAGTCCCTCTAATCAGTGCCGAATTTGCTTTCATTTTAATCATACTGCGCTTGAATGCAAAAATAGATTTAATCATTCTAATGCTTCTAATCTGCCACCTAAGTCTTTTGCAGCCATGAGCCTGGAAGAAGTTCGTCCTACTACTTGGTATCCTGACTCTGGCGCTTCAGCCCATATGACCCATGATCCCGCTATTTTATTGTCTCCTTCCTCCTATACCGGATCATCTCAAGGCATGGTTGGTAATGGTAATATCCTTCCTATTCTCTCTACTGGCACTTCAACTATTCCTACATCTTCTAAGCCTCTACTTTTACGCAATGTTCTATATGTCCCTTCTCTGAGGAAAAATCTCCTTTCTATACAACGACTTTGTGCTGATAATGATTGCGCTATTCAGTTTACTGACACTGGATTTTTGTTAAGGACAAGAAGACCAATCAAGTGTTGCTCCACTGTGATAATATTGGGTCACTTTACCCTTTTCAAGTTATTCCGTCTTCTTCCTCTCACCTTGCTCTTTCCAGTGATGTTTCGTCTCCTACAATTTGGCATCAAAGGCTCAGGCACCTTGGTCAACGATCTCTTGCTGCTTTAGTTCATAGAAAGTTGATTCCTTATGTTTCGTGTTTTGACAATAATTCTTATACTGTTTGTCATTTGGGCAAACAAATAAAATTGCAGTTTAATCTTTCAGTTAGTCGTGCAAATAAACCTTTTGTTCTAGTTCATTCTGATGTATGGCAAGCTCCCTTACCCTCAAATTCTGATTATCGTTACTACATTCTTTTTCTTGATGATTACACCAAATTTTCTTGGTTTTATTTGATGCACGGCAAATCTGAGGCATTTGACAAATTCAAAGAATTCTATCTTATGGTTGCTAATATTTTCCATTCTTCTATTTCGTATTTTCAATCAGATGGAGGAAAGGAATATGATAATCATAAATTTCAAAGTTTCTTTAAGGACCGTGGCATCCTTCATCGTTTCTCTTGTCCTCACACCTCTGCCCAAAATGGACGTGCAGAGAGGAAACATCGTCATATTAATAATATTTTGCGATGTCTTTTACTTCAAGCTTCTATGCCATTCTCCTTTTGGGCAGATGCTTGTCTTTTTGCTACTCATTTAATTAATATTTTCCTTTCCAGTTCTTAACTTTAGTTCACCTTATGAAATGCTTTTTGGGTGTTCCCCAGATTATAACCTTGTTAAAGTATTTGGTTGCTTATGTTTTTCATTTACTGCTCTTGGTCATAAAAATAAATTCGAACCTCGTTCAATTCCGTGCTTGTTTCTGGGAACTTCCACCAAGCACAAAGGTTTCAAGTGCTTGGATCCTACTACTAACAAAGTTCTAATTTCTAGGCATGTTAAATTTGTCGAAAACATATTTCCATATCTCTCAATGTTTCCTAGTAACTCCCAGACTCCTTTTCTCTTAAAAGATACTAATTTCAAATCACCTAATCTTGATTATTCTCCCACCCTTTTCTCCTCTCAAAGTGATATTACACATAACTCATCTGATAACTTGAATGCAACCTCTAATAAGAAGTCTTCTCCTTCAATGCATGTTTTACATGATAGCTTACCCACAGAATTTTCGAATTCAAAGTTAAGTGAGTTTTCCTCTGCTTCACCTCCTATTTTTTCGAGGACAGTTGAACAAGACTTACCCACTTCCTATACTTCTGGTAATCTCCAACAAGAGTTATCCCCTTCTTCCCGAGATTCTTTCGCAACTTTAAGTTCCAAGTCAATTACAACTTCTCATTCTCATATTCCTATCTCTCGTGGAAATTTAATCACAAATTCTCATCGTCCTATCTTATCTAATATCTCCACATCTCCTTAAGGCATCTTATCACTGTTATTTATCTGTATTGCTGTAAATTAAATAATAATCTTTCTGAAAACAGAAACAGAAAGTTAGTAGAAATTAAATTCCGAAAATAGTAAACTTCTTCAAAATAAATTCTGGAAAAACGTTATAGGAACAAATCGAGCCCACTGAATACACAGTGTGTCCTTAAGGAAATTATTCCCCTCAAGTACCCGAGGTTATGGAATATATCCTCCCAGGATAGAACGATTTAACTCACCAGTGTATCGGTACCTAAAACTCTGGTGATCGGCGAACCACTCGATGATCGTTAAGCACACTGGAATATTTTGTGCAGAAGAAGAAGAAGAAGATTCAGAAAATTTCGTAAGTAAATATTCTGGGATTTGAAGGTCTATTTATAGCCAACTTGGTGATGTTTCTGAGGAGGTTTGCAACCTTTCAGAATAGTCATGGCTGTTCAAAATATTGCGGGAAATATAAAACGGATTTAAAATAATCCTGGAAAGAAAAACGGGCTAGACCGGACCGGGTCGCGGGTCATCCCTCCATTTCTTTTCCCACCATTTTTCATTCACACCTCTTTTGTTATTATTTATTAAATAACAAACCCAACAATCCCCCGCATGAATGGGGAATGGCTATAAACTCAAAGGAATGCACGGACGTGTGTGTGTTTTACAAGCAAGAATTGATTGCATCTGGATAAGTAGATTTTCCTTTGAACTTTCCGTAGTGAACTTATATCGGATATACTCGGTCAATCGGTAGATTTGATATCTTTGAACCGTCGAGCTTTGTTGTATACCTAGACAACATAAGTCACACAATCAATCCTTAACCATCTATGGTTCTCACGGTTGTGTGCGTTTCAGCCATGAACACCGCCTGGTTTCATGAGTGCTTAGAGAATGGGCCTTTACTTTCATTCTCCTTGAAGCGGCTTACACTTCACACTCACATAGGTGATTCCTAAACGTGTAATCCTAAAGACACACTCTGGTCATATCCTGCCAGACTTAGCAAATCATTAAAAAGCTTTAAGCTTTATTGACTCATCAAAAAACCTTAATGCTTTACCTCGTTTTTGAACATTGTCTTTGTCACACCTCCTTTTTCCCTACACCCGCAGGGGCGTAAAGGAGTTTTTCCATTTAAAGGACAATCGGAACGGGATTTATTATCTAGATTTCAGAGTCGCCACTTGGGAGATTAATGGTGTCCCAAGTCACCGGTTGAATCCCGAACCGAGGAAATTATGACTCTGTTTAACAGTCTGCGATCCAGAAATCCGAGTAAGGAATTCTGTTAATCCGGGAGAAGGTGTTAGGCATTCCCGAGCTCCGTGGTTCTAGCACGGTCGCTCAACTGTCATATCCGGCTAAATATCTGATTTTAGTACATGTCTTGATCTACGTGCTTTTAACTTTGAACCGCTTTTATTATTATTATTTTATGAGAATTGCAACGTCGTAAAAATACGTCTCGAACCGCGTCACATAAATGCACCCGCGATTTTTGACACATTTCGACTTCGTTGGGATTTGGATTTGGGTCACATAAATATGCACCCGAGTCTAGGAAAGTAGATTATTAAAATACGCGCCTAAAGCAACTAACGCATTATTATCTTTGGGGAAGGCCGTGAAATTCGCTAAACGGCCCGTCCCGAATTCTAAGTATTTTGTATAAACATTTACCGAGGGCCCCGCAATTTGCTTATGTGTTTAGCGAGGCTCATCTCGTTTTATTGTTAAAGGGCAAACCTCAAGGAACTATGATTTTCTTATCTTTTGTTTATCTTTAATACTAAAGAAAATTCCTAATCATTTAATATTACCTAGCAGTTATTGCGGTTGCGTCCGGGGCTCATATATATTCAAGTCTTAAATTATTTTGGGCTTGAATGCAGCCCGCATGGCAGGGCCATAAGAAGGGAAGGTCTGCAGTTTATTTGGGCCCAGGTCTTGGGCCACCTGTTAAAATGCCAAAACCAAGTGGCCTGAAGACAGGCCAAGGGCAGAAACCAACGGACTAGGGCCAAGGGATCCAAATGTTGTTAACAATTATAACAAAAGAAGACGATACACAGATATTCAAACTAATGAGATGTTGATCATTTGAATTTTCGATTTCATGCTCAAATTATTTCATCTACTCGTCGTCTAATGAGTTCTCAGATAGAGCTAAAATGAAAACAAACCAGTTGGAGACGTGATACTATTAATACAAGGCATGCCAACTACTTTGATTTAATTTAAGCTTGCATTACTAACTCAACACTCAAGTGATTCATGATTTCAAAAATGAACTACTGCAATCAATGTGGAGACTCAACATGAACAGGGCCTATGCGTTAATTCTCAGCTCACTTGCTAACGTGTTAATACACCTAAGGATCACAGACTTCGGAATCATTTCCTGTTTCAACTATCTCTCTACTTCAGTAGCTAGCTTACACAGTAATACAACTATACTATGTCAAGGTGAATGAATGAATATCAGTCCATCAGTCCAAATTTAATTACAAAACTCAATTAAGGAAACAGTAATTGAATAAACTAAACTATGACTAAACACGGAAAATAAGACAGGTTCAGCAGGGGAAGAACATGGGATTCCATTCCAACGTCTGAAAATTACAACACCAAGGTTCAAAATATGTACCTGGAAAATAGAAGGTGAGACAAGTGAGGATCAGCAGCAATGAGCAGGCAATCAAAACATTAGATTGAAATTGAGATCACAGCTCAATGTATAACATCAAATCACTCTAGGATTGAATTTTGAAAATACAGGCTACAACATTCAACATTCAGTCCAGCAAACTTGAATAAACTCAACCAATGAGCAATTGAACCTAGGACTCAAATACAAACAACCAGTTGAACCACTAGCTAACTCGGACCAGTCAAATTCGAACTCGATTGATTCCAAACACAGCCAGATTCCAGGTAAAAAACAACAATAAAGGAGTGCAAGTTGTTTCTGAACCTAGATGAGCTAAAGAGCTGAATTCATGGCTCAAAATCACTCGAAGTGAACCCCTGAACTTTCACAACCCACAGGTTCCACTCGAAAGTAAACAATTCATGGAGATTAATTATCAGAACTCACAATACTCGATGTAACAGTGATTTTTGGTATTTTTTGAAGAGTTTTTGTTGTGTTTTGTTTTTCTGTAGAAAGCTTAAGACTCTAAAAGAAAATTTCAAATTCTAGATCTCATTTTTATCTGAAACTAGAGAGTATTTTGGGAGGGAAATTTTAGGCTGCCAAAAACTTCTTCAACAAGGCAGTATCTGCTGCCTTTTATAGGCAAAAGTGAGGGCAGCCCTCAGATTTTCAGTTTTCTTTTTAGTCCCCCTTTTATTTTCAGATTAGTCCTTTATTTATTGACTTGTTTCTCAAGTTATCTCACTTATATTCTGAAATTTACCTTAAAATCCAAATCTAGAAGCTTCTAGGAAGTTCTTACTAGATTCCCTACCCTTGAATTGCCTATCTTACCCTTATTTTGGTTCTAAAATTACTAACCTTTAACAAACCAACCCATTTTGTATGCCTAAACTACCCTTGATTGCTTTCAAAATTACTAACCCAACCAAACCCCTTCACCTTAGTTACAAAACCAACTATGGTTAACTAAAGAGTGATTTATTCAGCTATATCCAATCAACCTAACTTAAAAAAAAATAAACTAATCAATACTAATTAACCTAAATGCTTTAGTTAACACTAACATTGAATTAACAATTAACAAACTAAAGTAACTAACAATTAACAATCAATCATAAACACTGAAAAAGATAACACACGAACTAATAACAAATAAACACTGAAATCAAAATCATGAACTGAAATCATGAACACGAATTGAAACAAATAAAAATTGAAATTAAAGTATAACAAAATTACGAT